GAAGTTATTACGACCAAAACTTTCATGTTTGTAATTTATATAAAAATAACGAAACTCTTCAAGTTTTACCATAAAATAATATTTTTAAAAAGTCAGTATGGGAAGAATTCGAAACACTCTGAAAAATATACAATTATCGCGCTCACCTCCTAATTGAAATCGTCACATTGCCGGATAGTTTAGTAACGACCGAATACGATCCTTTGTAATTCATCTCTTCAATAATGATGGAGGCTTCGGTACTGTAGTGTGGAGGCACCTGAAGCGTACTTCTTCAACCTTAAACTGAAAGTCGAAAAACAACTGATTCGTTATCATAAAGTTGAGCTTGGGGAAAACGCCTCTCGTCAGGCGAGGCTCAAACCCACGCGGGACATTATTTCATCCTAGGCATTGAAAACAAGTCAAAATGTCTCGTTTCAGTTCGTAAGGATCAATTCATGACAGCTCATATTTGTGTTTTTTAGCCCAGGACGAAGGCGGTCGCGACGGTAATCACACTGGAATTGCGCTCCACTTTCCTCCTTTCTTTTAGTTAGTTATAGCTAGATTATCAGCACGTGACATGTACCTAGTTGTAGGCAACGGCGATCTCGGCTGTGCTCAATCTTCATAATGATCTGAATTCTTAAGGGAGCTCAAGGAGATTCAAGGTGCTATCGCAAGATGTGGAGGCATAGAGGAGGCAATTCATTCAAGATCGTGTAGAACATTTCCCTCTTATGAAAAACAGGACTGAGCCTTAGGCGGAAAGGTGAGACTCCAGGGTGCGCGAGCAATTTTCTGTTCCCTGAATTTTTTGCCCCCCCCCCCCACTCGGCTGAGCCCAAAAGGATGTCCCCTTATCTTTCGATAGCGCCGGATTTAATAATCTTGATTGTTTGATTCGCTTTGTTTCGTCCTGCGATTCACCAAGCAGCGATCTTATGAGTCTGACCACATTATTATGAAAACACCTAAGCTACAGCGCTCGTCGAAAGCTCACCACAGCCAGAAAGCGCTAAGGAGCTACCTTAGTTTTTCTCAGGACCGGGCGGAAACTTGATCAATCAAAAAATTAGCTATAGTAAAAAAAGAGGAGGAAAAGAAATAATCCGAGCACATAAGTAGCATTCTAGTAGTTTCAGGTAGATCTATCTTCTTCTAATTCCTACCTGAACATTGCTATCGACGCCCCAAGTGAGGATTTCCGTTTGGCAGTTTTCGTTCAAACTGTTGAAATGCATCTCATGCTTGAAACCAGCTTTCAATTCGGCTATTTCACCTGAAATGATGTAGAATTATTCGTACTTAGGGTCCAAGTAGAAATTTGTCTCCAACCTCCTCCATATGATTGCTAGTAACACTCAAATGGAGGACGGTAAACTCGTTTACTGGGAAGTGTTATCCTATGGATGTGAAGGATCCTCTCTGACTCAAGTACATGGGAAAACACAGATTTCGTAACCAGTCGCTCTAATGGTTACTAGTTAGCAAGACTTTATGGAAAAGAACACCGCTCTGATCTAATGAAGAATTCG